TATTATTGTATTTTTGTTATTTAATTTAATACGATTCACACCATTTGATATTAATCAGAAATACGAATCACCTTATGAAAGAACAAGTGGTGTAAATCAATTTGAACATCCTACTTATGTTGATTCATTATTTAATATGACACGATTTAATTATTCTGGAGAATGTGGGAAAGTATTTAAATACAAAGCAAATAATAAACGTGATTTGTTATTATTTGCATCGTCTTTTGATGATCCACAACGATGGAGTAAAATGAAAGAATCAAGTCAACACATTATGGCATTGACTGAGTCAGCTCTTCCAAGAGCAACAAAACTATTATTACTTCTTGGAGATGCACCAACACCAACATTTGAAGAAGAAATAAATACATATGGAATAGAAGTAGTAAAAGTAAAATATGAATTACCAGTAGCAACAGCTGTTGTTCAAAGAATTTTTGCAGAGAAGATTTTTCTAGAAGAGAACAAACATAAATATGACAGAGTTATTATTGCAGACTTTAGAGATGTACTTATTTTTAATGATGCATTTGCTACATTTTCTTCAAATGACTTGATATTATTGATGGAATGTTTATCATTCAATTCAACTGAACATTGTGTAACATTAAATGAAAAAACAAATAAGAAATGGATGAATGAAGCATATGGTGAAGAAATAAGTAAGAAATTTGCAGAAAAGAATGAAATTTTAATGAATGGAGGATTGTTTCTTGGAGGAATAAATAAAATAATAGAACTTCTAACAATTCAAATTAATAATTTAAATAAAAACAAAATGATGTTATGGGGACAAGATCAAGCTACATTAAATTATATTCATCTAACTGGACAATTGAATCATTTAAATATTACTAAAGATTATTGTACTCAAAGAATGTGTTTTGCAGAAAGTTTTACTGGATATTATGATAAAACAATGAAACGAATAACAACAAAATCAACTGGATGTTCTCCAGTTATCAGACATAAATTAGTCTTTTCAGAACCTCGTTTTAAATATCCACCTAATATTAATTAATATTTTATTTTTATCTTTTTTATTTCTTATTTCTTTCTTTTATTTGATGTTTTATATATTATTTTCTATTCTAATTCATTCTATTTGTGTTTTATTCTATTTTCATTCTTAATTCATTCTTAATTCATTCAATTCTTATTATTTCTATATCATTATAATCATCTCATTTTATAATTGTTATTGTTTCATTATTATTATGTAAATTTTTATCTTCTTTTTATTTTCATTTCTTATCTTCTTTTATTTGATTCTTTTATTTATTTTATTGTTATAATATTGATTATATATGATATTTGAAATATGTGAATTATATTTTGAAATAATTTCATTTGTAATAGAAATAGTTAATTTGATAATGTATTTTTGATAATAACGATGTTTATTATTTCTTTGATGTTGAAAATAATTTCTTTAATTTTATCTTTTAATTTTATTTCTATTCAATGTATTGTTTTATATGAGTGTTGTAATATTATTGTTTTAGAGAAATTGATATAAAACATAAATATAACTAAAGAAAAATAAAAGAGTTATATAATATAAAGAATAAATAGTATAAATAACAGTTAAATCATTTATATTTATTCACTATTATTTTGATTATATTTCATATGTTCTTATATTAAATATAATAAAATGATGAAGAATAATGGAAATAAAGATAATATATTGTAATATGAAATGTATCACTGTATATAATAAACTAGAATGATAGAAGAATATAATAATAAATGAAATATATATAATATTATTTATTGTAATTTATTTAACATTTTTATCATATTTTATCTCTTCTT